TGCTAGATCTGCAAGATAAGATTTTAATGACTAATTAAGTATTAGATTTCTGTATGGCATCTCTGCAGCCATCTAAACTCTCTGTCCCCAAAGTAAGCTCCCTATCTGATAGCATCCATTGCTATCTGCTTTTAATTTGCATTGATGAACAAAATTAATGATAAAATTTACCACCATTATAAATTTAACTTGGTTTACTGTTGTGGATTGCAGCTTTTCCTGTATTCCAGACTCTTTTCATTCAACCTCACAGCAAATCCACTGACCTAGTATCCCGTTACATGTTTACAAACCCTTTGTTACTACATCTCTTGTTCAGTTCTAGTGAGACACAGTTCACATTACCTGTTTTGATTCGTATATGAGAGAAGCAATCAGAAGAGTCAAGAATAAAGGGCTGCTGTATTTATACAGGTTGTATTGTTGCAGGCGGTGTGTTTGCATGTGGGTGCAGTGTGCTGTGAAGAGCAGCCTGTTCATGCTGTGCACACAGGGTCTGTTAGGGATGTGGACTTGCAGCCTCAAACTTTGCATTCTTCTAAAAGCCATGATCTAGTCTGATCCTGTGCCTTGTAGGTTCAGGGAGAATCTACGGCCAGTGGATGTGTGGCAGGCAGAGTGAGTGATGTATGCTTGAATGGGAAATTGCAGAGAATTACAAACAGCAGTCTGTTGTCTGAATGTTTTCCACGTTTGTCATCCAAGCAGAAGGGACTGTAGAACCTTTAAGATTCAAAGTAGGTTTTTCTTTAAATCATCGGCTTTAATTATTCTAGTAGTGTTGTGGTGGACTATGCTGTTAACTTAAAACTTGCCATCTTATGCACGGATTATTCATTTTTTAAAAGTGGAGACAAATTAAAACTAGTGTTTAAAGTCATTGTGAGACTGCATTCTGTTAAAGATGCTTGTTGTTTTGCTTAGGTAAGTAGGAGAGGTTTGTAAGAAACACCTTGACCAACTAGTCCTGGTAAATTCTTAGAGGTCTTAGTAAACTTCTTTGATTTGTTCTGCCTTTTTAATGTAATCCAGAAAATATTCATCAGCACAAAAACTTTGAGCGCCAGAATAAGGAAATAAAAATAGATATGGCTGTTATTGCATCCTTAAAGCAAAGCCTTTAAAATGTAGTTCCCATACATTTCTTAAAGCACTTTTTTTTTTCTTTTTCCAGACCGAAAGATTTTCGAAGGAAGTAATAACAATAAAAGAAGAAGAACTGCCATCAGGAATGTCTCTCTTCTTTGAAAAAAAATTCTTCTAACATGGAAGCAGCTGTGCATCTCGGTCAACCCTTTTATACAGAATGTTTTTGACAGGTGTTAGCAAACTTTATTTGGAAAGATTATAAAAATTACTGTATTTGAAACAGCTAAGAATGGATATTACGTTGTTAATGCCACCTGTACTCTGTGGTGTATGAGCTGGTATTTGTTAATTACATTTGCTTTAATACTATTATTAAAGAATTGATACATTTTTAATGAATATTTACATCTCATGGAAACAGTATATTGTTTACTGAAATGAAGTGTCTTGCTCTTAAAGTTGCAAAAATTGATTTCTGTGCAGTAAGAGCAGTGAATAGCTATGGTCACAGAGCTCCCACGAACGGCACACTGTCGGTAAATAATCTGTTTTGCTCTTCTGGTAAAACAGGTGATCCATCCTTACACAGCTTGATGAACGAGAGAATGCCAATCTTAGTTCAGAAGAAGGGAATTGTTCATGTAGAACTCGTTCTTTCTTCGGGGAGTGTAAAAAAACTAGTGACTTGAGCGGTTTATTACTGCGGTTCTTCTGAAAGCGTTTTCTAGAGTGCGGAGTGTATATACTGGTTAATGGAAATTAATGGTTAGATTTTGCTGAATGCATGTCTATGCAGGCCTGCAGTTTCCTTATCTTTTTAGGTGAACATACCTACTGAAGTTACTGTGGTGGTGGTAACCAAAATCAAACTCATTCCAGAGCCAAATTGCATTAGAAAAGCACAACACTTCAGAGGAAGCAGTGCACATAGCAAATATGTGCGCAGGCATACTGTAGTCCTGTTAGAGGTAAGAAAAATATTATAATATGCATCTTGGAGGAATGAGGAGGTGGTGAGGTTTGTGATGGTCATTTTTTTATGTCTTGTGGGAGTTTATCTTGCAGTCTTCAGCAACCTTCTAGAAAGAGTTTTTCTGCACAACATTCTTCGCCAGTTTAACCTGTTCATCATGACCAAAGTATTTGGTCACCAACCATTATTTTTCATCCTGAAGCTTTAGCCATCTTTTGATATCGAATACCATATGGTGTGCTTGGAACACCAAAAATGAATCCAAGGGGAAATCAGTTCATGCTTACAGAGGGCCTGTTTGCTACGGGGAGGAAGATTGCAGCATTTTACAGTGTCTGGAATTTCTTGGATGCTGTAAGAGTGACATTTCAGTTCCAGCAGAACATATTGCTGGAATACTGCAGAGCAGCAAGGACTGCATGAATTTCAGAAGTGATACTGTCTGCTAGCAGCAAACCGTGTTGGTGGGACAGGTATACCTCCAGGCACTGCCTAATGAATGTAGGCAAGTAATGAACAGAATCAGAACTACTTTTTTTCAATAATCTTACTGTTTTTCAGACTCTTGTTAATCTGATCTGCACTTAAATCTCTAGTGTGCTGAATGACAAGATCAAGGTTGACTCTTCTCTACTTTCTAGATGCTGAATGGTATTAAATATATTCCTAATACCATTTCATTCTTGATACGGAGATGTTACATGAGTGTCAACAGGAGAGTCGATACCCATAACATTCTGTCTGCCTAAGAAAGCAGGCAAGCAGAACATCTCTCCATCTAGGCACAGCTTTTGAAGATGGCACACTTTGGACTCACAGAGAACATCCATATGGGGCTGTGCAATATATTTTCTTAAGTGGCTCTTCCTCTATAGGAGTAGGTCTGCTGACAACCCAACATCGTATAGGTTCTGTTAAAGAGCTTATTGAAATAACAGACAGGAAAAGTAGATCATATGGAGATAGTCTTCCTTTTTTTCTCCTCTTAAGTCCAAATCTGATTTTTATTCAAGTCACAGGAACACGCCTTCCTTACTTAAAGAATGTATTGAAGAATGAAGCAGCAACATTTTTCTTATGAAAACCAAATGAGGAAACTAAACTTAGGTGTTGAATGATGCAAAATAAGTTTTAAAAATTTTGCTTCTGCAAATTACTTCCCTGAAGTTCATAACTGCTTTTCTGCACAGAAAACCCTCAAGCCAAAGCTGTTGTGTAAATAAATGAAGCACCTGTTGTTTTCTGTATAGTAGATGCTGGTATGTTATCTGCCAAATTTTACAATGTTTGGTGAGGAAAACTTGTGTTTTCTATATCCGTTGTATACAAGCATCATACAGGAAGAAAAACATTGTTTTATTTATAATCATATTTCATATATGGAATAATAATTATTTCATATTTCATATATGAAATAATGATTTGGTATCGGGCATTTCTTTGGCATTCAGATGAGCTTATCCCAGGAAACATTCCTATCCAGTGAATGTGCAGACTTCATTTCCAAGTCAGTAACCACATTTAATTAACTAGTAGAAGTATTTTTAAAAGCAGTAGGTTAAAGTAAATGCTCTTTTTTTGTGTAAGGACACAGTACGTATACTTTATTGGCAAGATCTGGGTGGCATCAGCTGTTCATCATGTGCTAAATACGTCACAGTCAGCAACTTAAGTTTCTTGGGCTGTCTGGAAAAATACGAGACACACCTGATTGATTATTGAGAGACTGAATTTTGGAGAAAATGTTGACCATATGTGTCTGTGTCTTACTTTTCTTGGTGAACATACAAATCCTGAATAACATTTTTATAACAACTTGGTAGTGTCCACCAGTTACTTCTAATTACCAACGTATATCCAAGCAAGTGATATGACCAGTGATACATGAAGCGTTCTGATTAGCAGGGTGCCAGTAAATGTCATTATAAATATAAAGTTAAAGCAAATTAACTAGTGCAATTAAAGTTTGTGCTTTAGTATATAAATTAAGTTCCACAATTGTAATGAGTATGCCTACTTTGTTACCCCCAAGTAATCTGTTTGTTCGATGCACTGCACGTACATCCCGTATGGCGTGAGGGGGAAGATGGTTGTGCCGGCAGCCGGTCGGGTGCGTGTCCCACAGCTGGGGACCCCACAGGCCAGGGGCACCCGGGTTCCCCGTGGGCAGAAGGGTGCAGTGCTGCTCCCAGCTGCTTCCCCAGCGGGGGCCACAGGGGACCAGTGCAGGAGCTGTTGGAGGGGCACAGCGTAGGTAACACCGACCGCACAGCACAGGCACACTCGGGGATTCGGTCAGGCTGTTACTGTTCATTTCAGATATGGACGTGCAATTTTGCATATTGACGTGCCAAAGTCAAAAGACTGGCAGGTATAGGAGCGCAGGCAACTTGGATCAGCTAATGATGAGAGGAAGGAAAAACCCAACCCAACCACTTGAGGAGCGCATAGATGGTGCGACCACCTCATCTCATAGTTACTCTCTACACTTTTTCACATAGTTTTAAAAATAAGGCTAAATACTGTTTATACTAAGTGCCTGTATCCTTTAAAATAAAACTGCTGCCCAAAAGCGTTGAAAAAGAAAAATATTTTTTCTTCTCTTTACATTCGGTTCCCCAAAGATCCAAACAATTGTTTCAAGTTAAAATCAATCAAATACAGAATTAACGTATAAAAGCTTGCCACTTTTATTTGCATACAAAACAGAAATAAAGAGGTTCACAATAAATTATCAGTGTGCTCCCACAGAACATTCTTGTGTATTTATATAATGTGGGTTAAAAAAAATACTCTATTAACGTAAGATTTCTTTGCAAAAGTAATAGCTGGGTTCGAGGAAACCTGATTATGCATTGTTCTCCCGTGAATTTAGTAGGGTTACTCTGCTAGTAAAGCAATTCATCCAAAACTAACAGAACATAATCAACTGGAAAAACATGGATTAAAAAAAAAAAAAGAACTTTTCTGAATGGTTCTACGTACACCAACTAGCCTGATGCGGTTTTAGTTTGAATAGTGTATGGAACAGTACTCCAGAGAAAGATCTACAGGTGACCTTTCATCATCATCTAGCACCAACCCACTAACATACTAAGTTTCTGGCATGCAAGATAAGTACCATTATTTGTTGTGTCAACTGGTCATGTACATTTTTTTCCTCCTTTAATACAAGAGCCTGTAAACATCTTCCATGACAGGTTAGGCACCTGGACAAAAGGCCAAACACAGCTGCACATAAAGTGTTTCCCCTTTTTAAACAGTTTATTGAGAAGGTTTTTTTCCATTCGCCCTTTTGCGTACTGGAGTCTTGACGCTCCTTTTGGCTATCTTCCTTGTGAAGCGACTAATTCCTGGGGATCTCAGTTCAACGGCTTCCATCTCTTCTCGAACAGGAGTAAACTCTGGTTGAGCAAGATGAGGTGATGGATAGGAGGACTGGGAGTATGGGGATGGTAAGGGGTAGGACCCGTGAACTACGTACGGCTGTTGCTCACCATCATAAAGGTCCTCAGGGTCATAGATTTGGTAGGAGTTATGTGGCAACTGCACTACTGGGATGTCTTGATCAGTTGGCTCACCGTATCCACCTTAACCCACCACCACCAAGAGTATTCATACGGTTAACACAGGAGAAGGGGAGTAGAAAATTAAAGCACTCATTAGGAAATTGACATTTTATATATAGATATATTTATATATAATGTGTGTGAGTATATATATAATCTTTAAATACACATCTTTTATTCACATAAAGGAACAGTGAAAACATTTAACAAAATTAATAAGCTGGAGCAATTGGAAACCCACCAACAGACAGCCAAGTTAGTTGGAAACCACCACCAGAATTTGTCAAATGTCCAGTTGTAATACTGTGCTTATTATACACTGCACAATCTGCCTGCTTTAGCTTGTTCCAATTATGGTCTAGAATACATGATTAACAGGCAAAAATGGGTCACGCAATAATTTTTAGCAGTGCAAGGAAGCTAAGTGCATGTACAGCAGCTAGTAAGTTCATTAGTGGTAGTCAATATCGTTGATGGAAAGCACAGAGCAGCTCAGCATCCATCTCTGACCTTCCGCCAAATGAGACCTGAACCAGAATGAGCCTTTCACCTTCTGGATTGGTAGCCATTGTAAGGGATTGGGCCTTAAAACAGGAAATGAACAACGGGGAGGGGAAGTGAGGAGAAAAGGACAGGAAGAGACGACAACAAAAACATTCAGGTAAGTAAAACATACAAATCAGCTCTCGGGCAGATTAAACCGTCAACATTAAACAAATATGCCTTATGTATAACATTTGTAGCAACCAGCGCTTTACTAATAAATTTCCATTTCAGGTTGGCCAACATAATTTTTGGTAATTGTGTTAACTTCCTCTCATGGCCTCTCCGTGCTACAATGAGACGGGAAAGTAAGACACAGAGAAGATGTAGAAAGAATCATTTTCTCCAGATTGCTTCACTGGTTAATGACGGACACGTGCATCCCTGTGTCAGGTTACACTACTAGGGGTTTAGTAGGGGTCATGCTCTCATGCCATTCGGAGGCACACGGAAGAGGAAGTTGAGCAACACGTTTGAAAAACTACAAATGTAAAAACTCTGCTGTCATGAACATTAGGAGGTGGGGATTGAACACACAGACTGTTCAGCTGAGATGGAGCAGGCTCGTACAACTACACAAGCACATACAGGACAAAAACCCTCTACGTGGGATCCATCTTACAGGCCGGGATCAGATGGTGGACTTCCTTTGGTCACTACACTGATGTCACCTTCTCTTTGTGCTGCAGTCTCACAAAACACAGCAACACTGGACACGCATGTTTTTAGGGAGCTACCACGTTTTTAGCGCAAGGTTCACCAGTAGCCTCCATCTTACTTTGGCTGTTAGAAAATGCCACCCCTGCCTCTGCAAACAGCGGCCACCCCGACTCCTGGCTACTCACCTCCCATGCCGTAACCAGCGCAGGAGGACGGATCGCAGTACCCCGGCGGGCCAGAAGGACCCTGTGAGCCTGGAGGTCCCATGTGACCGGCGGGACCTCGTGGGCCTGGAGATCCTGGTGGTCCCGGGCTGCCAGTTCGACTTTCTCCTGGAGGTCCTGCGTAGAAGGGGGAGATGAAACATCTGAGCAACATCTTTCATAAAAGCAGGGAGTTGAGGCCACCCTTCCAGGCCTGGAAAACATAGCACCGAGCATGCTATAAACACTTCCAGGAGATAGCTTGAGCGGAGGAGGTAGGCATCCTGGCTCCGACTCCTCCAGGCAAGCTGAGGGAAAGGCTGCAGCCTTCCTCTGGCAAGGAAGATGAAGCAGTGGCCAGAGAGTCAACCCGCTCCTGATGAGCCTCCTCTCTGGCCACTGCTTCATCTTCCTTGCCAGAGACAGCTTTTAGCCAGAAATTTATACTAGAGAAATATTTCACCAAGCCTCAGACATTCGGAAAGGCAGTTTCATGGTGGGGGGGGCAGCCCTGGATGCCTGCACGGCTCTCCATTCACCCACTCCCTCTCACTACAGCTTCTGGGTAATGCTGTGCCTTGATACCAGTGCTCTAATGGCCAGAATATCCTAACGAAGTCAACACAATTTTACGCCTGTTTCAACAGGACCTGGTATCACCCTCTCTGCTTTTTCAGGAGCTAAATACAAATCTCTGTGATTAATGTGCTTAATTAATATACATTTCTCTGTCAAATTACAGTTAGGTATAACCTTGAATCAATGAGAAAACAAATGCAATTAATCCAGATTAATTTTTTCCTTGCCAGACCCCATCTCTGAAAAAAATACTCAAAACATTAAAAAAGGCAGTTTTGGAGAAGCAGTTTGTCACAGGGAAAAGGAAAATACTTGTGTCACTGATGACACCGTCATATGTCATATCACAACATCATATTACATAGTAAGAACATTATGACAGTTAAGACGCCTGAACTACTGACTCTTCTGCTGCTTAAGCCTTAGAAGCGGAGGACAGAGCCATGCAGTTCTTAGCTGCTTTGCACATGGGTCAGAGTGGTCACATCCAGATGCTCCAAACATAACAACTTTACCTGTAGATCCTGGTGGGCCTCGGGGTCCTTGTGTTCCAACTCCTGAATTGCCTTTTTCTCCTTTCTCGCCCGGTAAACCTAAGGAAATAGTACTCATCGGAGTCACATTTTGAACAAAACTGTGTGCAGTGTTTATTATTTAACCAGGATTATAGTTCCATATGTTATTTTTCATCTAAAAACAGATGGCAGAGAAGGAAGGAGGTAAAAATAAAGAATTATTTGGTTCTTTTTCCCTCCCTTCTCTGACAGCCTCTCAAGGAAAACATGGCAAAAACATTCCTGGGGTCTTAAACATTCCTGCCGCCATGGTGGTTTCATCGAGGTGGTATGCAGAGGCATCGGCCAGTTTCCAGGCTACACTTCCTGCTGGAAAGCTGCCTCTGGACTACACCAAGGTACAACTATTGTAAGTCAGAAGAATCCTCAGAGCCTCACAAAGCTGTCTATAAATTACTGTGTGGCCCAGAAAAGTCAAATTTTTTAATGCTACAGCCAATTTTCCTTCAAACATTCACCCATCAAACAGTGGTTCAGCATAAGATGGTTCTATGCATAAATGGAGAGAGTTACCTTGGGTTATTGCAGAGTCTTGCTAAAACGCAAGAAAGGAGTTTCAGCACAGTCAAAATCTGTCCCCCCCCAAACGAAGCCCCCAAATCTAAGAGTTTCACAGTCACGAAACTCTGCTGTTCCACCACACACAGACATTGAGTTGTGTTCCTGCACTTGCTCACGGCCCTAAATTTCTATCGTTGGGTCTGATCCACAGAGATCACAGATCTAGTAATACAGAGAAGGCACTACCTTCTTCCAGCTTTCCATCTCCTCCTGCACTACCACTATGGCATCCTATAAAAACTCTTTCTATATGCAGTGATCACAATGAGCAGTGTCAAACTAAAGTAAGTGTCAAAACTATGAATTCCAGACCCTGAGTTTCCACCGGCGACTTGGAAACTCTCATAAAGTCTGTGTTTGATTTGGATGGTTCAAAGACGCCAAAGCCAGGCTGGTTTGTGGGACTTTCCCCCCCATCTTCCAGACCTCCCAGCACTGGTAATTGCTCTCACTGCTTCACAGCTTCCACACTTTGAGAATCAAAGCCAATATAGAGCACCTTCATAAAAACAAAGTAGAAAGAAAATAGCTGCTGCCCTTGATGGGGCAGTATCTACAATTTCAACTGACTGGCCTCCTTCCTTCCCTTCTGCTCAGGTAACTATTACCTCTTAGGGAAAAGCACCGGGAGGACACCTCATTTTTGCAAGGAGCCACAGAATATTTTTTTTTCCTTCCTAAGCTAATTTCTGATGGAAGCGAGTAAGCAAGAACAAATTCTTAACCGTGAAAAAAAAAAATTAAAATGCATCATTGACACAGAATTGCTCACATCGAGTTTACAAAATAAGAGTCTACTGAATTACAGGGGATCTGGTATTTGCTGGGGAGTTCTAGGTCTTCTAGAGAATAGGTGGCTTCCACGGCAATATATCACGTTGCCCAATCACCTGGAAAACACAGGCCACACCACTGCATACTGAGCACATCATTTTTAACCAAAGCATGACAAGCTCTTTGTCTTACCTCTACAAGGCTTTTTGCCACTGTTCCGGCATAGTTTAAGTATTTCCCGTTTCCATTTTGTACCTTTTATTTCCTTTGGTTGCACAATTTTGTTGTTGAGTTAAAAAACCATGTCTTTTGGTGACCAGTTATTTTATCACAGAGAAATTATACGGCTGTAACCACTTCTCACAGCATTTTCCATTAGGGGGTCTCCAAAGCTTTCCAAGTCTCTCCAGTAACACTGTATCTTAAAGAAGAGACTTGGCCACCAAGAGAAAAAATACCATGGCCAAACTAAATCAGCAGCAAGCGGCAAAAGAGAGTAGGTGTTATAATCTGGGTAATGCTTACACCATTATTTTGCAAATAGCAGGTATCTCCCTCTTGCTTCTAGAGGACATTGGGCAAGACAAAGCAAGGTCTTGTATGCCTCATCCCTGAATTTATGGATAACAAAATATTTATAAAACTACTTCTAAAAATGAAATCTTTGTGTTTGGTTGTCCCGACTGTTTAAGTCATTTGATGACTGCAATGCTGTTTCTTCTGAGTCTAACATTACTCTCTCTCTGTCAGCACATTAGAAGTGTTACCAAATGTTCCTTTGAGCAGTGTAGGAACACAAATGTACCCCAGAATGTATTCTGACCTGGAGATTCTAACTCATGCCTCTGAAGTTATCTCCATCCCAGCAAGACCCAATACAAACACATTGATTTGATTACCATAATCATAATTCTTCATTTCCTGAATCGCCTGCCAAGCTTATTGGCAAATTCTTGCTTGTATCACGCTCAGTAGCCAGATTTCTGATCGCGTAGCTTCTTATCCCACTGGCACTTCACACAGACTTCCAGGGATGCTTCACGGTGATATTCAAGGACCTGCAATTCTTGTGACCATGGGCTGGGTTCTCCTTTGCTGGTTTAATACTTTCACCTGTGCTTACTATGACACTCAAGGCACAGTGAGTACCTCCTCCACTGTTTAAAATCTTAGGTGAAATTCTCGAAACGATCTATAACCACAAGTCTCAAAACCTACAGAGCTGCCACAAAGCCAGCTTTTCAAAGGGCAGTTAGGCTTGGCAGCAGAATGAAGCCTAGTCCGATGTGCACAACTCAGTTAAGCACTTACACTCGCTCTAGAGTACCTGAAAAGAGCTAGGAATTTAGGATAGGTTACAGAAGCCAGAGTGCTAAGGTGGTCACGATTAAATAAAGAGGAAATGCTGAAGGGAGGCATGCCATGAAGGTACCCTCTAGGAACAGCTCCCAGAGCTGACTCACCAAGGCACACATTTTACCTCTCTGTCTACGTATCTAGAGAAATAGGTAAACACATGTACACTGAAAGGTTTAAATGATATCTGTGTCATGGTCCCACTAGTTTTTACGAGCCCTAGTCCGGGTAAGAGGCCAGTAGGGCTTCAGGGGGCTGTGGTTAATAGGGTTTCAGAGGTCTCCTCTCCCCTTCTCTAGCACCCCTCCATTTCCCAGTGTATTTGAGCCCTCTGGAGAAGTCCAGAGCTCATTCCACAATGCAGACAGCAGCACAAAGTGGCTCTGCCATGCTGAGACCCATCTCTCCTATGCTGAGACCCATCCCACATGCAGGCTCTGCAGATTTTTAGATGATGGCGTATAGCTGAAATCCAGAAATCTTGGATGTTCAAGTGTAGACAATCCTGATGATATGGCATGGATCCGTGACTGTATGGTCTCCCCTACTCAATGGTTCTGACTACCACCTCAGAATGCAATAGGCCAAAAAGATTAAGAATGGCTCTCTAGCCTAACTGCTCAAAAACTTATTAGGGAGAGGGAGGCCTTGTTTCAGACCTTATTCCGAGATCTAATACCCAAAACACAGAGAAATACATTCATCAAACTGGACCACAAGACCTTCTTCCCAGTGGTGGTAGTAGGTAGGAAAGGAATGCAGCTTCAAATTTCCTGAAATTATGCTCTAACCATTTAGCCACTGGAGAAAAGCTGGAGAGGAACTAGCACCGTCATCTCTTCTATCAAGCCTCCTTCACATCTAATCTTGCTATTTTCTATGTTGCTTGTTGTGCTGGTGCATTCCAGCCCCCCCTTCTCCTGGGCCGCTTGTTGATCTCAGAAATTCCCATAAAACCTTGGCCTTGGTATAATAAGTCTGGCATTAAGAGCTCCTTGACCGTATCAGAAACATTGCACGGCTGAGGTTGAGAATGTACTCATACTGCCTGGCCCAGGTGTCATCCCGATACCTTTATCTGAGTCATAGCACACGTGGAACAACACTGAAACCTTGAGAATTTCAGTAACTACCACCTTGGACTGTGGCCAGGATGGAAATTTACGGATGACTAAAGCCAATTATCTTGTGAACCTATAAATGGTGGTCCTAAGTGAGACCCTTTGAGCTCTCCTGGACCGCAGCGGGCTGCACCCAGCATCTCCCTCTGAGCGGGACGCCTCTCAGAGCTCGCGACCTCTCAAGTTGATGATATTCGGAGGACTATCACCAGCTGCCACGGGACCTGGGCTGAAACACTCCTCGGCTGAAACGCTCCTCGAGGCTCAACCCTTCGCCAGTTGAGAAATGCCAAGACACTTGACGTGAATATTTCACTGAACTCAAGGGGAATTTTTAACAGGTATACCTTTTGTACATTTATATATATTTCTGTTTGTGTGTGTGTGAACTAATAGCAAGCATAATCTGTAATTAAGTCACTGTTGTGATTGTAGTAGACTCTACTAACTTACTTTGTAAATGTTAAATTAGTTAATGATTAAGTGCTGCTAAAATCTTATGATCCACCTTAAAACTGTGAATGAACCTCATGACTCAACGGGAGGGTCTCCCTTACCATTTTCGTCCTCGGTCTCTATGTAAATCATTCTAGCCCAATTTTTACTTGATTTTTCTTTTTATCTGTGTAGTAAGTAATAGAGTGAACCGTGTAGTAAGTAATAGATCGAACTCTGTTAAGTTGCACTTTTATAAATTTCTATTAAAATCACTTTCTATTAATACCTCTGATGGTGATTCTTTAAGCGGCCTAAACCGCTCACTTGCGACACTTGTACACCACAGCTTTCTCTTACAACTAAATTAGTTACTACCAGCCTCTTGCAGGTAGATAACGAGCACCTCTGGCCAAACTACAAGATTAGTAAAAGCAATGCGACCAGGTTGATGAAGATGTAGCCTTGAGCTAATAGAACCTTGTGGCTAAGGAAGGGCTCAGCACCGTTAATACAACCCCTTTGGTGATCTCAGAACAGCAGCAGAGCAAATTTGTGTCTGACTGCTGTGTACTAACATACTGCAGTACACCTACCTTACCTCATGGTTGTATGAGGTACCTATTGGTCTTGTTCAGACTGTTTTAGACTTTCAGATTATGAAGTGTCCAAAAGGTAAGTTTCAGGAATTTTATATCCATAGCCTTTGGTAGCACTAGCTCCTAAATCTCACTGAAGGTCAATGGGTCTTAAGTGTTTAAATTACTCAGG